AAAATTTATAGAACTTTTTTTATTATTTATTTGGGCAATAATTTTAAGCTAAAAGTTTCTTTTCACTGCAGTGCCTCAGAAACCTTAAAAAGTGGCAAAAATTATTTATGAAAAAACATATTCAATATGTTTTTAGGTTTTTTCTGGGTACAAAAACTAATTTTTTAAGTCAAAAATTAAATCTGACCACTCTAGTTGCCAATTGACTAGCTGTATGAAGCATATAAGGGTAGGGTGTATTAATTTTTTTTTTTTTTTTTTTTGTAAATTTTAAAATCAAGGGGGTTTGATTTTGGTGAAGAATTAAAAGGAATTTCAAATATATATAAAAAAAAATGGATGTCTTGCTAGGACATGGGCTAAACGGGAAAATGACTAGAGTATAGAGGAAAAATTTTAAGTAATAAAAACTCACTTTTTATTAGGTTGAATTAAAAAAAAAATCATATTTGGTTGTTGTTTTTCTTAATTCAAAAAGCAAGCCTAAAGAATGGAAAGATGTTTATCAGGAGTGACACAAGGAAGCTTTCTTTGCCCTTTCCTCTTTTTAATATATGTACTAGACATAAATGACTACATCCTGAAGGGCATTACACACAAGAAATATGCAGATAATATCATAGCTTATGTAATTAGTAATAACTCTTCCCTTCCACAAGAAGTGGCAGATGGTGCAATGATAATAAAATGCAAAATTATTTATATTGGCAGGGGTGAAAAGTTAGTCATAACATTAAAAAGCAAAAGCCTTGAAGTTGTAAACTCATACAAATACCTTGACATCAACACCAACTCAACTCTCAATTTCGAAAAGCAATGGTCTAGTCTACATAAAGAAATTGCCCAAATGAGTATCTTTTTAAGCAGCTCCAAATGTTTGGTGGATGGTCTCAACCCATGCTTATATTTGCCTACCACACTTATTGCCTTAGCCACTTTACTTACAATACAGTTATCCTCACCTCAACAACCAATAAAACTAAATCTAGGCTGCAAGTCTTTTAAAATTGTCTTCTAAAAGCTACTGATATTGATCCACATGATGCAAGCTACTATGGTATCCTTCCTAATAAAGAACATCTTGATTTTGATTGTCTAAGCACACTTATATGAATTTTAAACAAACCTAACCATCCAATAACACTTAGTCAACATAAAAACAATCACTCACATTCCACTTTCAAATATTTATTTTTTTTGTTATTTTGGTGCCCCAAGAAGACCTAACTGTCTTGTCACAGAGTACCGCGGAAGTGCATTTAACCAGGAAGTTCACGCCTCCTTCCTTACCGTGATGCAAAAAAATGTCCAAGGGTCGTTTCGAACCTGGATCTCCTGCTTATAAAGCAAGTGCTCTAACCACTGTGCCACGGCCGCACAATATGGCTTTATTATTTTATAAAATTTAATACCAGATCTGTGAAATCAACAATGTATTTAAACACATATCTACAAAAATTTATCCGCCACCTTCCTAATGATGCAAATAAACCTGGAGCTAACTCTGCCCTTTATGTTACCTGAAATCATTCAATAAAATATTTCAAAATATTCTACTATTAGTTTTTTGTAAACTCAATTCAATATTTATTTCAAGAAAAGATTATATTTACATAAAATTTGAAAAATTAAGCATTATTTTTAAATTTTAGTCAGGAAATTCAACCGTATTGCAAATATGTAAAAATTAAAGATCCAAAAATGTCTTGCTTTGATAACTTTTTTTTTTAAGTTAAGATAATAAAAATAAGAATTACAAAAAAGAATAATTATAATTTAAAATGATATTTATTTGATTAAATTTATTTTTAAATTATATGCTGAATTTTAAGACAGAAATTTCTATATAGTACGTTAAATTTAACCATAACTTAAAAGTTAAATTAATTATCCAGCCAAATATCGAATAAACAGACTAGAGGTTAAAAAATTCATATAAAACATACAAATAAAGATGCGAGGGTTTAAAAAAAATTAACTATTACTAATAATCAATATTACAAAAAACACAAAATGTTTAGTGAAGAACTAATCCTAACCTTTATAATAGCCTTACTAATATCATTAAAAAAGCTGTTCTTACTTATCATTAGAGAAGATATTCTTACTTCATCAAACATTTGGTGAACACAAACTTATTATCAAAGTGAATAAGATATTTGTTAACAGGGGAAAATATTTATCAATTCAATAATTTTAAAATTTATTTAATTTTATTATGTATCAATTATTTTGTAACAAGCAAAATAAGAACATCAGCCGTTAGATGTTTGCCATTTTCTGTTCTGTAATTCCTGAAGCTTGTAGAAGATACTGTAGACTCTGACCTAATTAAAATGTAGTTGAACTGATTTCTCATCACATTAACTCTTTAAATTTTTGCACTGTGGTTTCATCGAACTTTGCAAATTTTTTTAAAATCTTTTTGTGACTCTTCTTAATAAAATTCGATAGGCAGTTCCAATGTTTCTGAAATCTGTGTCTTATGTTCTAGGAGTTTACAGTACAGTATGTGTCTCGTATTCCAGTTTGTGTACAGTTTAAGGATACTGGGAATACTTCTCTACTATCAAGTTTACAGTGTCATTGCTAAACAATTTGAATTGCACACTGTCTAGTTTGAAACCTAACAAACTGCTTTTAGGACTGTCCTTATTCTTTTTATAATTTCTACTTCAACTGTTATATCAGAGAATATCTTTGCATCTTTAAAAGTCCTTCTTGCAGTATTTTCATGATTTGTGTTTCCATGATGATTTCCAAGTCCAGATTTTGGAATATCAACAAGTAGGCTAAGTTCTTCCCTGGCATCTGGCTCGGGTGATCCTTTTTCTGTTCTGCACAAGGATCTTGTGTTCAGTTTTTTTGCCTAGCTTGATGAGTCTTTACATTAATTCTGTCTAGCTTTATGAGTCTTTACATCAATTTTGTAGCCTAGATGTAATATGTACTGAAATGTTTTTATCCATCATCTTCAAAAAAATGTACTGAAATGTTTTTATCCATCATCTTCAAAAAAAAATAATTTATTTTTAAACAATCTTAATAATTTGTATAATTAAAATAAAAAAATTAAAGATAAAAATAGCTCAATAAGATAAATAATAAAGATAAGATAGCTTCATGTTCTAGAGAACTACAAAATCATCAAAAGATGATTTTGTAGTTCTTGTGTTTCTTAAATTACCTCTTTGCTTTCTCTGTTATCTTTTTAATTCGATTACATCCGTCTAACTCGATTATACTGGCTTTTTCACTTTTCACAATCACACTGCAAACCGCAATATGTAAGAAACTTTATGTAAGCAGTTAATCTTCAAATATACTAATAACAATTTATACATTATTGTCATTATTATTGATCGCCTATCGGATCACATACATAACAGAAGTTATATCCTGCGCATAAAAATTTATACACAACAAACGATTTTTTTTACTTTATATTTCTAGCTAAAGATTTATATTTAATAAAATAAGTTATTTAATATTTATATAGGAAAACAAGTAGTTTTGATTAACTAGTTAGTTAGAAAGAAATACCAACTCCATAAAAAAATTTAAAAATGTATTTAATTAGAGCGTATTTGTTATTGGTTAAAAATAAATACAAATTAGCTATAAGGGCTTTAAGATCCATGTCACTCTTTTTAACATTGTTTAATAAAGTGCAAATATGTGCAGCTAAATTTTGCACATTAATTTTCTATACTATTAGTGAGATGTTGATACAAAAATTAGGGTGGACTAAGGTGGAACATTTTTTGTAGGCAATCTTTAGTAAATGTAAATTTTTTTTTTTTAATAATTTTTCTGTTTCAAAAATGTTTTCCATATTTTAATGAATAGGTTATTTCTCTTTTTTTTTTTTTTAAGGCTTTTGACTGGTCTAAAAGTTTATGTTAAAAAAATGACTAATTGTCCGCAAAACTTGCTTCTAATTTAAAAAGTGTATTTATTGCCGGAAAAAAGTTATTTAAGTTCAAAATACATTATTTTTAAAATAAAATTTATAACCCTTAATGTTTTAAGAAACATTTAAAAAATTTTAAGCTTAAAAATAACTTTTTGTAAGCCACTTTTCAAGGCTTCAGAGGCGCTGTCTAGTAAGCCAAAAAAAGTAGCCCACTATTTTCAAGGTAAAAAAAAATCAAGGTTATTTTTGAGAAAAAATTTTCTCAAAAATAAGTTTACTCCATGTTAGAAATTTAAACAAAAAAAATTAATTTTATAAAAATATTTTTTTCCATAGTAATTTTTTCCATATTAATTAAATCCATAGTAATTCACTAGCCCTGTGAAATTTTTGCTATCTTATCTCAAAAGCCTTTTTTTTTCAATAAACAGCCTATATATCCTGAAAAATGACTGCAAATCGAAAATTAATGTCTGGGATTTTTTTAATAATTTTTTTTTTCATAGAACCTATTATTTTCTTGGTAAAGGAAAAAGGATAAAAACAGAAAAAATTCTAATATCTCCTATGCGCGTGTGCGAATCCTTATAATACTGCAGTGAAAGATAGTACGGTCAAATAGAAAGGTTTAATGCCATTTTTAACAATTTCTGAAAAAAAGTCTTTAAAGATAAATACAATTCGTCAACTTATTTATGCTGCCAACTAGACCCGGTCTCCTTTATGCATAGAAAAATTTTTATTAAAAAAAGAGAGAGCAATTAAAATCTAGCGCGCACTTTTTAAAATGCGCACTATCACTTAAAATCTCAACGTTCAAGGTTTATACGCACAAAGGCATATTTAATTATAAAATGGCGCCGATTAAATGGGAATTAACTCTTTTAATCGGAAACAACCAATATTTAAATATTTAAAAAAAGTTAATTTAATAATATATAAGAAAAATTCTTTCACCATACGGAAACCAGAAAAAAAGTTGAACAAAAAAATAAAGAATTAACACCTTTCGTTATCAGTTTTTTGTTGAGCAAAAAAAAAAATCTATAACTTTCTAACTTAAAAATTAATTTTAATTTTTTAGATTTTATGTTAATATTCTACAATCTTTGTTCAACTTGCTGAATCAGCAAAAGCAGCCTCCCCTTGTCCAAGACAATGTTTGTGGTGCTGTTTCTAGAATGGTAATGGCATCTAAAGAATCTCTACCGTTGCAGCAGGTAATGTTTTAAAATAACTTTTCTTGATATGTTAATTTTAAGATTTGTTTAATGCTGTGTTTCTGTTAGGTATTGTCGGTATTGATCGATTGCCTTCCAATTAAGGAAGACGAAAGGGAAAATGAAACTGTTATGAAATGCCTTTCAAACCTTTACGTTACCGACAGCTGCATTGTAAGTTAGTTCAAACCGTTTTTTAAAATTTTATTTTGATATGGCGACGACGATTACTTTTTAAGTTTTTTTTTTCTCATTATTTTCGTGTTATTTCCGCTTTGCATGCTAATTGCATTCAACAATTGAATGGCGTTATGTTAGAAAATTTTATAGAACTAAATTTTTAACAAGTTACGTAATATAATATAATCTTAGACTAGCGTTATATAATCTTAGACTAATATAATCGTAATATAATCTTAGACTAGCGCAATTTCTTTTTCTGTTTCGCGTTGGAGATTGTTATTCAAATTTGTGTTGCGCATGACGTACGTTGTTTACGACTTTCTCTTAGTTTCGAATGCTTGCGTATTGGGAATGTTTTTAAATTGTCTGGTGCGGCAAGAATACTTTGTAATATGAAAATATGTAAACAAATTAAATTAAAGCATTATTCTTATTTCCATTTAGCTGTTTCCATATTTGCAAAAACTTATTCCTCTTTTTATTGAGTCTCACGGCAACGAAAATTCCGGAGTAGAACTAGGTTGGTTTTTTGCTTTCAAGATAAATGATCCAAATGTTTTTTTATGGATTTGAAATTTAATATTTTGCTTTTTTATTTTAGCTACACGTGAAAAATTAAAAATCGCAATTGAAGATATTCAAAGAAAATTTCCTTTAGAATTTAATCAAATTATATCCACTCTTGCTCAAAAATAAATATATGTAGTCTTTTTCTTTTTTTTTTTTTTTTTTATTAATTTAATAGCCTCGTATATATATATATATATATATTGTTTAGAAATAGAAAGTTACCCTATTATCAAAATTTAGTAAAGCCTTGACAATAGTTTCCACTTCTATTATTCTTTATGATTCGTCGTTACGATTTATTATTAATTTTGAAAATGAAAAAATTGATAAAATTCCGGAAAACGAATATACCGTTTTTACAAACGGGTTGATAAGTTTGAAGAATTTTAGATGCGATCCAAAATTCCTTAATATAAAAAAAAAAAATTGTTATATAATTAATTTGTTTTATTAATAATTAAGACAATTGTTTTGGTTTTTCAAATATTCAAGGCTGAAAATATTGAAGAACAATAGCCATATGCAATATGTAAATCTAAATATATGACTTCTGCGTCTTGAACCCCGTGCTCTTATTTCGCCTTAGTTAAATTTTAACATGTCTTAGATACCGAAAGATACTGTTTAAGACGCATAAGGATTTTTTCGATGTAACCGGTTTATTTCGATGTAACCGGTTTATTTGTAGCTGTTTTTTCAACAGTTTTGTAATAACCCTAATAATAAAAAGCCCTATAGTTTTCAACAGGATAGAAAAAGCCTTATTTCATTGGTATAATCTCCTAAAATAATTTTATTCTTTGTGTTATAACGGTTAAAATCTCTCTAACGTTATGAAAATGCTGTATCTATATACATCTCTCACAACATTGATTTGAAATCTAAAACAATTTGCTAAATAATTTAGTTATTATTTCTTTAAACAATGTTAAGATACAAGCTTGTTAAAATACTAATTTAATATTATTTCAGTATACACTATTTTAACTTTTAAAGTTAAAATATTGTACACTAAAGTTTGATTATTAAAATTACTTGTTAGAATATCGCAAAATTGTTTTAAAAACAAGCCTTACAATTTAAATAATTGAATAAGAACAGTAAAAAGAAATGTGTGAATTTGAATTTATTCACTTAATAAATAAATTGTATTTTTTTTTTTTTTTTTTTAATTTTTGTGTGTTGCGTTGCGTTGAAAGTTTTTGATGTAAATGTGATATATGTTACTGGTTGAATAGAGATTCGCATCTTACCTGTTCCCAATCACCACATGAACAGTAGTAGTAATTTTTGCTTTGACCTTAAGACATTTAATTTAAATTTTTTTTTTGTTTAATAGATTAATTCTTTAAAGGTGAAAACTTAGGTGAATTCACCTAAGTTTTCACAAAGTAAATGCCTAAAAAATTTAAATATTTTGTCGATCAGAAATTTTTTGTTCAAACGGAAAAATGGAAACTTAACGCCAGCTTATGTTCCACAATCATTTTGAAGCGCCTAAATAATTCGCACGCTGAGTTTAGATCAGATGCCTAGGGGGAATTTATTGCTGCATGATAATAGATAGAGCGCCAATTTTAAGTTTTTTCTTAAACTCTGTAAAAAAACAATGTAATTTTGAATAAAAAGAACGATATTTTAACAATATTTCCCCTTTTTTTAAAAAAAATAACATAAACATTATTTTGAAATTTGCAAAATATATACCTAAAATAAATTATTTTAACAAAAATCTTTATAAACATTTGTAACATTCCTCCTGAAAAATTTCAAATATTTTTTGCATTTTTCAGGGCTAGAAATAGTTGTTAAACAGAAATATGATATTTGTCGTACTATATAACATAAATTATGCAGTGATAAAAAAAAATAGTGAAATATTGTTTTTTTTTTTTTCTTTTTGTTTGGTATTATTTTGAAACTCATTAATAAATTTGATCGAAAATAAAATTGGGCGCGTTACTTACGCTTGCTAAACATCGCGCAACCATGCCGCATTAGCTTAAAAGGTATAAAAGCTGGACTTGCGCATTTCTTTTATGACTAATCTACTTTCTATTAAAAATGTCGAACGAAGCAGAAGGATTATGGTGCGGCTTAATTGAAAAATGTTTTCAGGAAGCCTTAGCTATTTACCCTCCTTGCGGAAGACAAAAAATAATGATTTCGTCACGTGATAAAATGTATGGCAGGAACGAGCTTATTGCGCGTTACATCTTAAATAAAACAGGTAAAGTTAGAACTCGTAAACAAGTGGCGAGTCACATTCAGGTGCTAGCAAGAAAGCATATGAGAAAATCTCATAACAATCAACGTAGTGAAGTTAATGGGCATAACAATTTGGTTACAAAATCGAAAACCTCTCGTATTTCGTCGCCTTTTGATATTACATACTCGCCTTTGGATTTCTCATCGAACAATTTAAGTCACCAGACTTCATTCGTCGACGACCTACACCATATGATAAATCATAATTCTCCATTGCAAGAACCCGTAAACTCATTTACTTACCACAATGAAAATTCATTCATAGAAATGGACCGTGATAACTATTTGAACTACGATCAATATTACTTTATTGATAAAAGGTGCGAATATAGAGCTCCTACGTATAACGAAAAATTACCGAATTTTAGTCGTGAAATTTTACAAAACTTTCGACCTAGTTACGGGAAAAATCATTTCTCGAAAAACGACATTTCTTTAATTGAATACACAAAAGATAGAGAAAACAACGCAAATGCGTATTTTTCATTTTGTAAATCAAATTTTGAAAATGAGCAAAGACCTTGGTTTACTCATAACGAGCCAAATATCAATCGATATATACGCACTTTTAAAGATGAAATGAAATCAAATATTGACAATTTTGATTCTCATATAAGTTTAGAACCATTTTTTAGAGACGATTTTTAATTAATGAATTTAAAAAGTGATTGTACTTGTAATTAATTTTCTGTAAATCAATAAATTAAGTAGTTAATATAAAATTATTTTATGTGTACATGACTGTTGTATTTTATTGCCCTTTGAAAATACATACTTGCATTTGGATTTCTCGGCAAATAATTTTATAAATCTTTTACACTACACAAATTTGCTAGAAACAGCAAAACCCATTATATGAGTATTCCGTGTGAGGGTAAGCACATAAAATGTTCAGGTTTCAGATTAAACTTTTCTAGCGCTTGCGGTAATCTAAAGGCTGGAAATAAAATAATGGAAATGTCAAAAACCCAATAACGGGTCTATAGTTCTAGATAGGAAGCCGCCTTAGAAGAGATATTACATTTTTATATAATAATTATCTTATTATTATATAAACACTATTATTAGGTATATATCTTTCTTATAACACAATGCCATAGGTCTTATCAGGTTTTTTTTGATTAATCACGTTTACTGCGTTGCCGACGAGATAACTTCAGTCACGAAAAAGCGCAAGAGTTTTAAAAACTCTTGCGCTTTTTCGTGATAAGCAAAATGAGTTTTTTTATGCATCAAGCAAAATTTATTTCGCTTAAAAAAGCTGATTTTGGTACTATATGTAGAATAAATTAATCTCAAACTGGATGGGAAATAGAAGGGAATTTCGGGAAATTTAGATGGTGAGCTTAAAAGTGTTAAAGAACTGTGAAATGTTGAAAAAACCTAAATAACCTTTATCCTAATGTTCATCTTTCTTCATGTTTCGAATTTAGCCTTGAGACTTTTTATACCTAGATTCTTATAAGATTAGGCAAATCTAAGCACTTTTTAACATTCCTCAAAACCATTTTCAAAATGTCAATAAACTATGAAGTCGTTAAGTTTTCTGCTATGTTATATGAACTTCTATAATTCAAAAAATTATTTAAATTGAATAAATTCTTCAGCGTTTTCTCAACAAAACAAAAACAAAAAAACAAGTTTACAAGATTCTGCTGTTAGATTTAAATCATTTACAGAACAATTGAATCGTCAAATGCCAAAACCAAACATTTTACAAAATTGAGATTCTTGGTAAATTAAAAAAAAACTATTATATTTCTTAACTTAAAGTAAATTGCTACTTTAAAGTCTCAATAGTCGTGTTTGTAAGCTTGTTTTCTATTATAAAATTGTATTTTTATTTTTATTCATTTATTTACAAAATGCACAAATGTGTGGTTTTTGCTGACCATCATTAACTTCAAACAAAAGTACAACAGTATTTCAAACATCCCAGTGGGCACCGGACCTAAAAAAGACGTCTTTTTAACGTTCAAAAGACGTCCAAAACGTGTATAAGACGTTTAAAAGACGTCTTTTTTACGTCCGTGCCAACTGGGATAACAAGTTTATGATTGAATACAAAAATATGCAAATATCTTACGAGATAGTAATAAAGAAGCAAAATACAATAAATTATACAATATACTCTTAAATAACACTACTTCTCAACGTTGGGCAGACGTCTGCTTACATGAAAATTTTTTTAAAAAGTCTTTGTACCCAACAACATAACTTTCAAATTTTTTCAAATTGGCAATTTTTTTACAATTGGCAGATTCTATTCTTTATCTATATAAATCTCAAATCCGTCCTTGTATGGAATACTGTTGCCATATCTGAGGTGGATCTTTCAATGATGCCCTTTCTCTTTTGAACATGGTGCAAGAAAGCATTGTTAACATAGTTGGACCTGCTCTTGCAGCCAACCTCCAACCATTTTATCACATCGTCGTAATCTTGCTTCTCTTTTTTTTTTACAAATACTATATGGGCACTTCTCTAAAGAGCTGGCGTCACTTGTGCCATCTATTAAAGTTCATTCTCGTGTTACTCGTCATTTAATAAAGTCTCACCTTTTTCTTTGACTGTTCCTTTTTTCCTCAAACATCAGATTGCAATAAATATTAATCATCCTGATTCATATTTATTGCAATCTTTTAAGTCTTATCTTAATCATTATCTTGCTTTATAAATTCCATCTTTTCTCTTCCAGTAACTTCCAACTCTAATAGTGGTTACTTGCAGCCCTGTTGAAGCAAAAATGTTAAAAAAAAAAAAAAAGAATATTAAAATATTTTTATACATGATTTTGCATTATAAATTTTTTTTCCTCTCATGCCTACTGATGTTTTATCACAAACCTTTAAATTTGTCAATTTACGGTTATAATTTACGGTACAAAAAGTTGACTAAATCTTTTTTTTTTTTTACATTTATTTTGCTGTTTAACAATAAATAATCAAACAAATATTTATACAAAAAACAAAAAATATGTCCGTAGAACAAAAAAGACAGTAAAATCTTGTGAACAAGCACCATTTTTGTATATACAGTATAAAATATAACCTTTTCTTTTTACAATGATTTTTATAAAATAAAGAGTTAAACCGACAGGGGCTCAAAAAAGATGAAGATGACAATACGTAACCGCAATCTTTTCATAGAGCCCCTATATACGTTTTCCATAAAATATAGATATTAAATTAAAAACGTAAATGGGCATAAAACTGCTGCGCTGATCAGTAAACCAAATAAAGATAAAATATTTTATCAAATAAACAAATAAAATTCCTTTGTGATTGCTTTAAGCACAAAAAATTCTCAAATTTTAAAAATTTATTTTTTTATTAGAAACTTAAATGAACTTAATGCCATACATTTAAATCCTTTTTGATAACTAATCCATATATTTGGTCCTCGATATGCAATGCTATATTCAGTATAGTTATTAAAGTTTTGAGGCAGTTTATATGTGTTATTTATATTTGCTCTTAGATAATAGTTTTCATTTATTGTTTAGCATGTTGCAACATGCTAAACGATAAATGAAAACTATTATCTAAGAGCAATTTCCTGCAGAATTATTTACTATAAAAATAAGCGTCAACGTTGACGCTTATTTTTATAGTAAATAATTCTGCAGGCATGTTTTTGTAGACTATAAATTTTTTTAAGTTTTGCATTGAAAGCAATGAATTGGTCCAAAGTAAATTAGTTTAAGATTTTGTTTATTGATATATGAGCAAATTCGATACATCATACCAATTATATTAGTGATTTTAGATTGATATATCTTATTTAAGAAAGCCAGGATAACTTCTCATCAATAAAATCATTACATTCCATGTAATAATAAAATCTATTTTTTTGAAAATTTACTTTTTTCCAATACTATAATAGAGTGACGTTTTTCTATTTTAATCATCTAGTTATTTTCTTCGTCTAGTTATTTTCTAAGCAGAAAACAACCCAATTAAATACAAATCTGGTTCATTTTTAGAGTCAAACGCATTTATTTGTTCATTAGTATTAATGCGCGCTTGACACGGCATTTTGTTGTAACAATGTAACATTTTGTTGTAACAACGAAATCTGTATTTGCGGTCAGGACCAGTTGAGCGTTCTGGAACATTTATATTGACGTAGATATTATTATAAAATCTACATCAATAAAAATTATTTTTATATGCGAGCCCCCTTATTTTGGCGTTTTTGATGTAATTGCATCTTTTCTCTTTTTATTTTCATTGTCAATATCCATTATCTCGCTACTGTCGGACATGATATAAACTTCAAGAAATCTCACTTAGCAACAACTGTTGACAAATATGAAAATTAATAATTAATTTTTTTTATATATATAAATAAACACTTAGTTTTAACACGAAATGTTTATTAGTTATTAATAAATAGTGCTAACACAGCAAAACAAAAATTAATGACATTTTGTGAAATCACATTATATATTGAGAAACTTATTATTAACGCTCATTCGTGTGTAATTGACGGTACTCACGGTAGTCGTTACACCCGAGTGAATGGCAAAAAATAGTGGTAACTCATTTTTATAAGAAAACGTGAACGAAAGTGTATAAAAGCATCTAATTTATATTATACTTTGAACTATGCATTGTTAAAACTAGTAATCCTAAAAAAAAAAAATTTAAGATTTAAGAAGTGGTATAATAGCTAATGTTGACATTGATCTATCTACGATTAATTAAAAAGTGAAATATTTTTTGATCCAATGCGTTAGTACTTCACAGTGGGCATGTTTTAAACATTTGCAAAGATATTGAAATGGTCATTGCATTTATTTGATTTAGACACAAAATCGCTGTTTTAATATTTTCATCTGTAATTTTTTTTTCTTATAATTTTTTTGTTTAGGTTTCCCAAGAAGTCTTTGCGGTCTTATCACAGAGCACCGTGGATGAGTAATTGGGAGTTCACGACTCCCTCCTAACTAATATTGCATAACTTGTCCTGAGGTCGGTTTGAGCCACTGATCCTATGTTTCTTAGGCAAGTGCGCTACCACCACACCACGACAGCTCTGCAATTATTATCTCATCAGAGCTTTTTTAAGGGATTATTTGACGATTAGTCGATCTATGAGTTATTTTTTCAGTGTTTAATCGTTTTTCAAAAGTAGTAGTAGTGATTGATTCTTAATGTACTTAAGTAATTAGTTAAGTCTGCGTGTTTAACACACATTAAAGAGACAACATTTTTTTTTCTTATATAAAAAAGATTTTTATTTCAAACTTTTATTTTCTTCGAAGATAATTAACGGGGGCAACTGTCCTACTAAGCTGCAGATGGAAAAATATTTAATAAAAAATTTATAGATACTTTATAAAGAAAAAAATTTAAAAAGTCCGTACCCGTTTTTTTTTTTGCATAGAAGTTTACAATTTTACAAAGAGAAGTTATAAAGTATTGAACACTAATCGTTAACTCAAAACAAATATTCAAACAATTTTTAATTTCTACCACTTTATTATTGAAAGAAAATGACTATATGAAGAATAAGTATAAAAAAAGTTAATTATAAAGTTAATTATATTATAAAATGTTTTTTTTATACATAACTTTAAAAGGTAGACAAAATGTATAGTTTTTCAAGAGTTTACGAAAAAATATTGATGTAAGGAATAAGTA